TATTTCACCTAATTCCACTCCTTTAACCTCAATATCTGTCATTTAACCATTTATAGAATAGTTCCCATGTTATGAAATAGTCCAAATCTTCTTTTCCTTTAATTTGTAGGGTTAACCTATCCATCTCTGCACATTCCAGAATTTTTTTGATTATAATATCATCTGCAGGAGTTTCTGGTTTTTTCCCAACATTGTGCACATACGATTCTAGCTGCTGTTAGGATGATTAGAACCAAATATGTATTACCCTTATTATAATTTCCTGGAAGCATGCCCAACAAAAATGTCTCAGGTTTCAGATCTATTTGTTGTCTTATCTTATTTTTCAGCCATGTGTGTATTTTCTTCCAGTATTTTTTGGCTTTGGGGCATGTCCACCACATATGGTAGTATGAGCCTGGTGTCTGATTGCATTTCCAACAGTGGCTGTAGAATGGGCTGAGACTGGGAAATAAACTGGAACTGTACAAACTTCAAAAGCCAAGTAGGGTTGATCTCGATTACTACTTGTTGGAAGAAATGTCCTTCTGGGTTCAGCTCCAAATGGGGAAAAAGTCACTGGAAACGTGGAGATTGCTTGGAACTGTGTTTTAATGGTGGTCAGGACTCCTTGGTTTGAGGTCCTGAATAGAAAAGGTGATCACATGCTTCAAGATGTTGGATGAAGAAGAAAAGAGAGAAAAGAAGGGCCTTGCTGGGTTTTTTATACTCTCTGTTCAGCCCCACCTCTGTTTCCTGTTCCTCTCTAAGAAATGTATTATGATTGGTTGTCAGACTCCCATGGGGCTATGCAGGGGCAACTNTGCCTTTACTCCCAAGTTGGCCCTTGTTTCTTAACTGTTCCTTTCTCCTGGCAGTTCTGTGCATGTGCTCATTGGGAGCAGGCTTCAGCTGTTCTTCTGCCCCACTGATCTCCAACTCTGAAGGCAGCTGGTAACTGTCAGACGGCCCTGGCCCCATCTCTGCCTCTGATGCAGAGTGCTCATCAGAGCCTTCCCCAGACACCAGGATTGGCCTAAGTTCCTCCCCAGCCTCCTCACTGTCTGAATCTGCCACCAGCTCTGCTGGCCGCTGGTGGGCCACAACAAGTTCCTTTCTGGCAGTGACATATGTACCACTTCCTCAAGCCATTAACTCTTCCACTGATGACCAATGTTAAGATGAGACTAGTTTGTCCACTTGATTGCTTATTCCCTGCGGAGGTGACCTTATAATTGCTTGTTAACCCTGTAAGAAAATGCACAAGAAGTGTTGGAAAAATGTCCATCAGCTTTCCAGGTTGACAGTTAAATTTTCACCTGAGTATGCTGTAAGAAACCTCAAGATAAAAACTCATTAACTATTGATTTGGCCATGCAAATGGAATCATAAATACATGCCCATCTACCCATCAGTATACTTAGTCCAAGACCATAAATTAAAACTAAGTGCCAAGCAAAAAGATGCATTGGACCAAATATTAACCGAGGCTCATTGCTGTTTGTTTCTAACGAGACAGCCTCAGCATGAATATTAATTTTAATTGAGACCCGTGTTCTTACGATCCTTTCAAGGAAAGAGACTGTTAAGAAGTGGAATACTTGCACACCAACAAAATCCTACGAAGATATTGCCAAAGACATACAACCTGTTTTCGACCAGGAGCTGTACATAGCTTTTGAGTAACGTGCTGTAAGCTGTTCTGAATGTTTCTAAAAATGAAGTTAAACCAATGCAATAAATATGACCATTTTCCATACCTTTAATAACTATTATTTTTTAAGATTCAACAGCAGCTTTGGAAGTGGCTCTGAGGGCTAAACCAAGGTTGTAGGTAGGGTCCGCTTATGCATTCCGGGCAGGGGTGGGTTCTGGCTGCTGCTACTGCCAATTCACTCAGTGACACGCTTCGTGCGTGCTTAATGGGCACTATGCGCACATGTGCAGTACAAAAGCCATTGAAAAAACAAGATGGTGGCAGCTGTGGTGCCGCCGATAGAACCAGTCAGGGGGCGGGGCAGGCCGAGTTACTACATACTCGGCCGAACCGTTCCGAACCGGTAGGAACCCACTTCTGATTCCTGGTTTAGAGCAATCCATTTTAGAGACCGATACCTTACCCAAACATCCACCATCTTTTTAAAAATTGCTTTCATACATACATATCATACATTTCCTTTCTATGTTGAGCAGTGTGCTCTCTAGGTGTTCAAGGTCTTAACATACAAGCATAAAAACATCATCATCATAATTATGAATTCATATATTTTAGTATATATTTTAATATATATTCACACAAACAAGAAGCCGAAAACACCAGCCTGAAGATGGCGAGTGAGACCTCGCTGAAATGTTGCCAAGACAATCTCAATCTTACACAGGAAAAGACCCGAAGNGGAGGTAATTGGCAGCAGGCGGTCTCTCAAGTACCGAGGTCCAATACCATGAAGGGCTTTATAAGTAACGACTAGCACCTTGAAGCATGCGCAGAGTGCCCGTGATGAGGTCTGGGCGGGTGGGTGGAGGCTTCCGCCGCTGCTACTGGTTCACTTGAACTGGGGCGAACTGGCAGAATACCACCTCTAGTTTATTCTACCAACAAGTAGAAACCCAAAACTTAAATTTCACCCAAAACTTAAATTTCACCCAACTCCAGAATTTTATTTCACTCCTTAGTCATGCAGATATATCTGGTATATCTACATTAAGCAGAAGTCCACAACTTTATTTTCTGAATCTAGTATTCAAGCTGTATTCTACTTAGTAGCAATTGATTCATCTCTAGACTACAAATTGATTGAAAGCCATTTTAAATAGTGACCATCACATCTTCTGGCTGAGTTCCATAAGCTAATTACAAGCCAATTATGTGTTGTGTTTATACATTCTCTTCCTCCCCTCCTAAAACCATCTCTATATGGATCCCATTGTCCAGATAAATAGCTTTTGTATTTTCATAATTGAACTCTATGGAGATGATTGTTCCCCATTATTTACGTCTGGGGTTGCCAAAAGTGTTGATTATAGATGTTAATAGGTTCACAGATTCCATTTCCTCCAGGGTTTCAATTTAAAAACAGGAAGCCTGTAATGTTGTAAAGTAAAATACCAGCATCATCTTTATTTCCGGGAATACTGGTATGCTTTAAATGGGCCCCTAAATATTTGATCGAAATTAGCAAGGTAGAGAAAACTTTCAGTGTGTGAATTCTGCAAGGCTTTCCAGCCCATTACATTTGCAGTAATTGTAGGAGATGTTTGTATGTTCTGCATAACAAAGCAATGTGTTGCATCTCTGAAAGTCGATGTGTTTACTAGAAACATAGGGTCAGCTTCATGTGTTCTGCTCTGGATTACATGACTGGAGGCTTAGAATGGAGTAGTTACTTAACAACAAAGACAATTAGGGAACTGGAGGCTAGAACAAAAAAAGGCTGCTGGAATTGGGTATGTCTAATTTAATGAAAAGAAGGACTAGGGGGTGACAAGATAGCAGTNTCCTCCTCCTCCTCCTCCTCCTCCTCCAAGTGACTGTGGATGGTTTATTTCTATTTTATTCTGCAGTGACTCTAGGGGGTCTCTCAGCCCCAGAGGGCTGATTTTCAGGGTAAACAAACCTTCAGTTGGACGACACTGAGATGACACAGGTGGTGGAGAGGAACCCTTTCTTCATGCCCGCTACTGTTCAGACTAAAATTAAAATAGGATTCATAACTCTGCTCTATTACGTATGTTTTAAATTAATCTTTTGCTCATGGTGCAAGCATTGCCTTGAGTCTCCAACATACAGTTGCAGCTTGGGAATAATCATCGACATAAAGACAGTCAAGGACGGGATTGCAGATACCTTGCTAATTTACAAGCACAGAGATTCTTAGCCAAACCTTCATTCTTTGAGGAAATAAAGCTGGTTACGCTCTGCTGCAAAGATGACATATGTCCAGAGGACTTTCCCTGGGGCAGCTAACTACAGGCAAGCACAGTAGACAGCCTTAATGTACCGTATACTGAGTAGGGTGTCTAGAAGATGGCAGCAAAGCAATAGAGAAAACACACCGTTTGCTGCTGTCCTCTGGTTGTCTGGATTTTTGCATCCCAGAACTGGTAGCCCACAAACTGCTAGATTGTTCACTTTGAAGATATTTCCTCTGAGCTGCCACTGCTGTAGTTCTGTTTTGATCTCGGCTTCAGAAAAGCAGACTCCTTGTCCCGACAAAACCATGTTTTTTTAATTAAGCTAATGTGAATTCCTCTCATTCACATCCAGCAAAGTCTTGGCAAACAGCCTTTCCAGGGTGAATTAACCACCACAGACCTTATCAGGCTTGGGGAGCTGCCAGGTTGATATCTTCCAAACCAATGCTGTACAAGAAAATACTTGGTAAGGAGTCTCTGGGGATCATGAACAAATCTTTACACCAATTAAATGAACTAATTGTCTCCTGCAAACTCCACTCCCCTTTTGCTCCTCTTTGTTCCCTATGGGAGGGGCCATTCACCGTCTACCTATGCCTTTACTCCCAAGTTGGCCCTTGTTTCTTAACTGTTCCTTTCTCCTGGCAGTTCTGTGCATGTGCTCATTGGGAGCAGGCTTCAGCTGTTCT